TTCAAAGCAGTTGATAGTGGTAGCTGGACACCATCTAGTTCATCTAATCTCCATCATGAAGACTGATGTTACATGTTCCATTAGTCCATTGGACTAGTTGATGCTGAGCCTCTTCAATTCTTATCACTCTTCGTTCTTCCACACATGAAGAGAGACCTATATCCCATAAAAGACTTACAAGCCTCAGAAACCCTATGAGTTGCTATGAGTCAGAACCAACTCAATGGCACTTAACAGCAAGCTGTGCTATAGGAGCATAGTGGCTCTGTATGATAAGCACTGGACTGCAAACCACAAGGTCAGTGGTTCGAGTCCACCAATTGCTCCTTGAGAGAACAATCAGGATTTCTGTTCCCTCAAAGATATCCAGCCTTGGAAATCCTATTCAGGGTCACTAAGAGTCAGAACCAATTAGACAGCATTAACAAACTGGGCTTTTAGCAAATCAAGTCAACTGCTTGGCATAACTGTTTTTGCTTGGATTAAAATAGACTGGTGGGGTGAGGGAGGGGGATGTATGTTCGCAAATTAATTCCAAAGACGGGAAAATGACTGGATTAAAAATTCTTGCTTCAGGGTCCCAGAGGTAAGCACCATTAAACCTGTTGCCATCTCTCAGGGTAGAGTAAGTTCAAATGCGTCATAACGCAGTCCATCTTACTTTGGTAAGTGGTTGTTGTTAAGTGCCGTCAACTCAGTTCTGACCCATAGTGACCCTCGACCCATAGTGACCCTGTACAGGGTTTCCAAACAGCTGCCAGTAAGCTTGAACCACCGGCCTTGCGGCTCAAGCCGACTTTGCAGTCAAGAGCATTAATTCACAGGATCTTAAAAGCTCCTAAGTGGCCATATAATGTGCCATGATTGGGTCATTCCCCATCAGGAGGAAGGAATGAAGAATACTGAAAATGCCTGAAACCAATGATTCCAATGGACTAATGGGCCTACCATTCAAACATCAGCCTCCATGGCCCTGAGACCAGAACTAGATGGTGCCCAATGACCACAACCAACTGCTCTGAAAGGGATTACATTAGAAGGTCCTACATAGAGTGGAAGAAAATGTGGAACAAAATACAAAGTCATTTAAAAAAAAAAAAAATCAGGGTTACTGGTTGCATAGACTGAAGGAACCCTCAACACGACCACCTGCAGCCACTCTTCAGGTCTGGAAATGAATTCACCCCCATGGCTCAACTTTCAGCCAAACAATAATAGACAAGCCTACAAGAGGAACACTAGGGAGGCATGCACTACTTAGAACAGTCTATCATTTGAGATCAAAAGGCAATATTTAACCAAGAACAAAGTTCAGAAGGGTTAGGAAAGGAGGAGGAAGGGGAACAGGAAATACACACAATGGGATAATTGATGTTAAATTGTCGGGATTGAAATCAATGACATGAAACAAAATGCATATAAAATATGGATTGTTCTATATACCTTCACCCATAAGAAATAAACTCCTTGCTGTCAAATCAATTGACTCATAGTAAACTCTAAAGGACAGAGTAGAACTGCCCCACAGAGGTTTGGCAGGTCTTTCTTCCGTGGTGCATAGCTGGTGGGTTCAGATTACTGATTGCTCAGTTAGTAGCTGAGCATTTAACCCCACCAGGGCTCCTAACCACCATGTGGCCTCATTTTAAAGGCTGCCTCTACCTGGTTGATTCACACACCTCTTTGTCTCTTAAGTCCTCCACACCAAGTCTCTTTCTCTTTTCCTTTCTCTCCTGGAGAGGCAATTTCCAGAGTTGCTGTTGCTGTTACAACTCCTGCACTGGACTGTGAACCTCAAGGTTGGCAGTTCAAACCCACCAGCTTCTCCTTGGAAATCCTATACAGAGAGTATTACCCAAAACAATATAGGCCCATTACCATGACTTAGGAAGTCCTGGCATGGCCCTGTAGGATAAATACTGGACCTCAAGGTCAGTTTGAACTGCAAGGTCAGCAGCTCAAAGCCAACACCTGCTCCTCAGAAGCCCTATACAGGATCACTATGAACTGACTTGGTGGCACTAACCACCACCCCGGAGCTCAGGCTTCCAATTCAGGTGGCTGTTTCACCTCACTGCCATGCATCTCTCTGCTCCACCTCGCTGTCGTATTATATTCTGTCCAGTGGGATGTAATATGTAACTGGTAGTAGGAGAGCCGATAGACACCCCCTCGCACTCACCAAAGCTACAACCCCAGTCAACCCAATAAATGGCTCTGCCAAATCTGTACTCATCTTTTTTTAAGGGGCCCATGGCTTAGGTTAGTCTCCCATCACCACAATGCTTAGCACATAACACACCCTCTTAAGCTTGTGAGATACGCCCCCTGGAGAGAGTGAAGACAAACAGCTTTAGTGATCCTACCAGGGCTATCACACCCACAGGATCCTTCTCAACTTCCAAGAAATCAGGTGTTCCCCTAAAGAGGCAGGGGTCAAAATATCCCAGGGCATTCTGTGGTTTTAAAAAAATCTTTGAAGATCAAACTCCCACTTTTCTCCCACATTCATGACACACGAATGTCTCTGAGCCTCAGTGCTATTACCGTCATGAACTAAGGGCCTAGATTTAGGTTTCCTCCAGTCCTCAGCACCACCTCCCCACAGTACACTTAATCCAGATATTCTGAATCAGTCTGAGGCTGACACAGTCATAAAGAGCTTTGGTCACATAATAGTTACAATTTGAGCTGCTAACCTCAAAGTCAGCAGTTCAACACTAGCAGCCACTCTGTGGGAGACTTACAGCCTTGGAAAGCTTATACAGCGTCACTGAGTTGGAAGACTCCACGACAAACTACCACCACCAGGACACCTCCATACACTAGAGAATGTGCATTTCAAAACTGGGCTATTTCTGAAAAGGTGCAAGTATGAGACTACTTAGAAAACACTTTTACTGCTGTAAGGGGGCAGGGGAGCAGAGGGACCTGAGGCTTTCTAAAGGAAAATAAATCTTAAACCTTGAAAAGGATTAGACTTAACCTCTTTGGCCGTTAATCCATGTCCCTCTGGCTTAGCTGCACCAATACTCAGGCAGGGATAGTTGGTGCTCATGGTGACCAGCTGGCTGGGAACCAAACTGCAGCCTTCTTCCTATGGTGTTACTTTTATGAATTTCAATCACAACTGGAAGCTTTCCATGACCCTGTCCATTTCTGTGACCTCAGTTTGGTTCAGACAGGCAAGTCATAAAGCTAGATGGACACAAAGACACCTGGGTCCAGCAGTGGGGCTCTGACAGGGGGGCAATGTTAACTCAAGTCCCAGTATGCCTTCCCCACCAAGCTGCCATTGGTTCTTCTCCAGACTCTGGGTCTGAAGAACTTCTGCCTGCAGAAATTACCTTTGGTCAACTCTAGTTGAGGCAAATGGTATATATAACTAAGGTGAAGAAAATAGGTCATTATTTTCTTCTCTAACTTAATGAAGATGGTTGATACAGAAATTTATCAGTGAAGACACAGCTTTGGTTCTTAAACAGATTTAACAGGCCAGTCCTTAAAAGAAAAGTCTTGCACAATTTGTCATGTAGCCATGTGTCAGCCACTTTAATAAAAAATATCACCAAACCTCTCAATTACAAGAGCTCAAAAAACCATTGATCTTTAATTTTATAACAAGTTTTAAAAGCAGGGACAAATTTAGTTTTTAGAAAGAATCTTATATGGCAATTCCAGCTCAGGACTTTTATATATATATATAACAATCAAACTAAGCATTACTACATGGGAACATTAATGCAATAAACAAGTAAAATGTACTAATCCAAATCACAAACTTGCTAACAGTGAATCATGGTAAGGGGATATCGCCAAAGAGCAAATGACTCCTCAGGTAAGTTTGAAAGAAAATCTTGCCTTTGTGCAAATAATTCTGCTTCAAGACATTTGCATAGAAATAGAAAACGGTAGAGCCTTTACTGCAAATAAAAATTGCAAAGCCTCAACATGTTATTAAATTCAATCCAAGGAGCAACAAATGTTAAATTGTTAGTGGGACTTGAGCATCTAATTTCTAGCTATGCCACTAGTTATAAACAAGACCTTCAGAAGCATGATTATCTACCATGATACATAGAAATGCCAACCTAGTCTCTTTTCAAAGCCACTCTCAAATGCTCTTGATTTGATCAACAATTACACCTTTAAATCCATTATCAATAACCTCGAGGTTTACTCTTGACATCAGGAAACAAAATCCCAAGATGAGCAGTATTTTCTCCCTCATATCCTGCAGAACCAGTTTAGTCTGTTACTTTTGACAAAACCCAGTCTTGGCAAGTCAACTATTTCTGGGGACTCTGGAAATTCCTGTTATCTCCTCAGCATGAATTGTTTCCCCATCACTTCATGTCCCACCCTCAGAAAATCCAGATCACCTGGAGTCACAGCTGGATGTTCCACTAGTCATCTCAGGCTCCCTCTGCTGGATGCCAAAGCAAGAGTTAGTTGCAAAGCCAATGACTGTAGAAGCCATGATTATTTATGCATGTTTAAGAGATTTACTTAACTTAAAACCTGGGACACTTCTATAATCACCTTCCAAATCCTTTTGGGAAGGGCAGTAGTAGCAATTCTAAAAAACCACAATTTATTTCGACAGGAAGGAAAAGTAAGAATACACATAAAAGTTTTATGAAGAGTAATTTGTAATTTAAAAAAAAAACCTAGAGATATTCCAGAAAGCTGTCTTTATTGACAATTTTCCCAGAAGCAGAGCAGCTCAGAGAGAAGTCACTTGTTTTGCTTGGGATGAATGAGGAGTCCCTGTGCTTGTATTCCTGATTCTTACTCTTTTATAAAAAGCACCAGATAAAATTGAATTGACATCACATTCTTTTAAAAGAAAATAGTGACTAACTGAAATTCGCATCTCCACACCCTCATCTACCCAGTCACCGTCAAATCATCATTGGTTTCCTAAAAGTCACAGCAGACTTCTATTTTGGAAATCACTACACGGAGGACTGAAATTTTCAAGAAAAAAAAAAATCTTATTACAAATGTGTGAGTGGAGCCCAACTGAAGCCCTTTCCCTATGATTTCTGGTTTGCTGTTCAATCCACACTGGAGAGATACAAGGATAGCCACCTTTTTGGTTCCCAAGTTTTATTCAAGGACTTATACAAAATTTTCCAGATAAGTGAGTTTTAATCCTCATCTTCTTCCTCTTCTTCATCCTGGTTAATCTGGAAGTAACGTAATTCATAACTTTCTTTGCTGTTAGCAACTACGCGCAACCAATCACGTAGATTATTCTTCTTCAAATATTTTTTGGTGAGATATTTCAAATACCTGCAGAGAAAGGACATTTGAGAACTACTCAGTAGATGATGTCTTGCATACGGAAACATTTTAACTTTAATAAAACTCATTCAAAATAACCTTTTCATAGGACAGTGTATAACATAGTTTTTACAGCCAATGATGTAAAATTACATTTCCTCCTCTAGACTGGCAATAAAAAATGAACACAGAAATAAATGTAACAGTTATCCATTAAACAATTAACAACAAACAGCTAACACCTATAAAATAGCTTTTAGTGACCACTGGAAAAAAGCTATCATGGTAGGAATCTGACAGTAAGCACAACCTTAATACTCTTTAGTGAGAAATCAGTTTCCAATAAGCTCCAAGCACTGCACATACATCACTCCATTGATTCCACTCCTACCTGTGAGGTGGTTTCAGTTACTGGACTTGCTTCTTCAGTTTGGATTACACTATCATTTCTGCCACGTGATGTCCCTGATCAGACTGTGGGTACCCTGCCCTCGCCCTCACTCTGGCTCTCTGCAGTTAAGCACACTTACTCTTTTAATCCATTTGCCTAATTGCTGCTTTGGCCTGGGCCAGAGGTAGACTAACCATAGCAAATGGCTCAGTAGAAAACCCACTTTTTATACAAAGGCAGCAACTGGCCTTTTGTAGCCAACATTCTTAACTACATAAACCTTTCTTCTCTTACCTGTTTGCTTACAAGGCCCTGAGAGCTATCTTTTAGGTCATATCCCCAAAGTCAAAAATAAAAGAGGAGATTTGCTGTTAGCCAAACACACCGTATATTACCCTTCCCCAGTCTCAGTTTCTTCCTCTATATAATAGAAAGTGATTCTTACCCTCGCATCAGACGGTCATGAGGATTAAACAGATGCCCATGTAGCACCCTGGCAGATTCACATGTTATTACCCTGTCAACAAACTCACCCAAGTCCAAGAAATGTATAGTGTTTTGACAGTGTTATACCAACTAAGTAATCTTCACAAAGATGTGAAGATCTCAGTGCAAGTCTGTCCACTTTCCCTACATAAAAACAAATAAATGAGTTGTTCCATCTATGTATGTTTAAGATTTTCAATTCAATGTTAAAGTAATTTGAAGTTTGTAACAGAATGTTGAGGAGGAAATTAGGTGAAACCTGTGGAAACTCAGAGGCAAGCAGGAAAACATTCTAGATAGAGTAAAATTATTATACTTTCCACAGAAAAGAAAGCTGGAAGTTAAGATTAAGACTCCCTTCCCCAACCTTTCTCTCTGGGTGTTTTTGTTGTTAAGTGCCATCGAGTCAATTCCGACCCATAGCCACCCTATGCTGGGTTTCTAAGGAGCAGCTGGTGAGCTCGAACTGCCAACCTTGCAGTTCAGACGACTTTACAGTCCTGGCGCATTAACCCACAGCGCCATACCAAGACTCCATAAGGAACAGAAAATCTGTGAGAACTGAAGACATACAAGAATATAAAACATTCTCGCCCTAGGTGGGTAAACTCAGGCGTAAACCACTGAAAGATAGAGGTCATGGAATCTTCTCCCTGGGCCCTGCTAATAAAACACAGCATGTTGGCTGTTTTCTCTCACTATATATCAACTCTCCTACCACACAAAAATAGAGCAGCCTGTCAGACCGGGCTTGGAAATCATCTCTTGACTGATTTTTCTGAAAATAAAATACACCTTAACCACCTCCCCCGCCCCCACTATCTACATTTAGTTTAAATAAAAACTCTTTAGATATGCCAGGCCCTGGACCAGGAGCTAGATGTAAACCTGTCCATTTCTTCAGCAAAATGTTCAGCTAAGTGTTTTAACCTTTTCCTCTAAAAAAATCTTACCATGTAACAGGACAACTGGATTACTGTCTCCCTCCTGAAAAGGGAACTGGACCCAAAGGAATTATGTGGAGTACCTTCAGTCTAAAACTGAGGTCTTTGAATTCCTTATCCAATGCCATATTAGAGCTTATAGAAAACAGAAAACTCAAAGCTCTTTCTTCATTGTATTTAAGGCAAAAGGAAGCACACTCTTCTTTATTGTCAAGAATAAAGTCAAAATCATCTGTCTTGAAACACTTAGCCTGTGAAAAGCAAAACTCAGGGAGAAAAAAGTTGCCAATAAAAACTCAACTGCAACTTTCATTGTACTGGGGGCACTGTTTCAGAAACCAACAGATGTAGCCGCAAGACAAATTCCTCCATAGGCAGTTACACTGTTGTTCAGGAGGGAGGGTGGAGAGTCCTGATACCATGCTGTGTGCTAAGAACAGTCTCCCTTACCTTTTGGAAAAAGGCACCTCAGAGGTTACAGTAATCTTGCTCTTGCTTCTTTCAATGGTTACAACTCCTCCACCAAGATTACCAGCTTTCCCATTGACTTTGATTCTTTCTTGAAGAAACTGCTCCTGCAGAAATTAAATGGACTACTTAGTGAAGAGACAGGATCACCCATCTCACCAGAATATTTTAGTTTCTTGCATTAACACTGATGGAATGTTGTTGTTAGGTGCTATCGAGTCCATACCGACTCCTAGCAACCCTATACACAACAGAATGAAACATTGCCCAGTCCTGTGCCAACCTCACACACGGTGCTACATTTCAGCCTATCACTGCTTCCACTGTGCCAATCCACCTCACTGGGGGGGGGGCTTTCTTTTTCTCTGACCCTCCATTTTACCAAACATATTCTTCTCCAGGGATAGTCCCTCCTGAAAATAATGTCCTAAGTATGCTTCAGTCTGGCCATCATAGTTTCCAGGGAGCACTCTGGCTATACTTCTTCCAACACAGACTAGTTTGTTCTTTTGGCAGTCCATGAAACTTTTAATATTCTCCTCCAACACCGTAGTTCAAATACATCAATTCTTCTACGGTCTTCCTTATTCAATGTACAATTTTCACATACATGAATTTATTGAAAATGCCATTGGCTTGGGTCAGATATGCCTTAGTCCTCAAACATCTTTGCTCTTCAACACTTTAAAGTGGATTTGTGCACATTTGCCTAATGCAATACACGTTGCTTGATTTCTTGAGTGTTGATGGTTGATTGAGCTAAATGAGGTCTTTTACAACTTCAATCTTTTCTCCATTAATCGTGATCTTATTTATTGGTCCAGTGGTGAGGATTTTTGTTTTCTGTACATTGAGGTACAACCCATACCAAAGGTTGTGGTCTTTGATCTTCATCAGTATTTTAAATCCTCTTCACTGTCAGCAAAGTTGTATCATCTGCATATCCCAGGTTGTTAATGAGTTTTCCTCCTATCCTGATGCCATGCTTTTCTTTATATAATCCAGCTTCTCAGATTATTTGCTCAGAATACAGGTTGAATAAATATGGTGAAAGAATACAACAGTGGCACTCCTTTGCTAATTTTAAACCATTCAGTGTTCCCATGTTCCTTTTGAACAACTGCCTCCTGGTCTATGTACAGATTCCTCATGATTACAATTAAGTTTTCTGGAATACTCCTTCTCAAATTTGTCATAATCCACACAATCAAAGCCCTTTGTATAACTGATAAAGCATAGATAAACATCTTTCCTGGTATTCTCTCTGCTTTCAACCAAGATCCATTTGATGTCAGCTATGTTATACCTCATTACATATCCTCTTGTCAATGTATGGTTGCAGTGGTTTTTGAATTATCTTTAGCAAAATATTGTTTGCCTAGAATACTAATGATATTGTCCAATAATTTCTGCATTCTTTAGAATGGGCACAAATACGGCTCTCTTCCAATCAATTGGCCAGGTAGTTGTTTTCCAAATTCCTTGGCATAGATGAGTGAAGCGCCTTCCAGTGCTTCATTTTTGTTTTGTCTTTTTGGTGTGTTTTTTTTGAAAAATTTCAATTTGTATTCCATCAATTCCTGGAGCCTTGTTGTTTGTCAATGCTTCCAATGTACCTTGAGACCTTGAGACTACTTCCTTCAATATTAGCCTCATGATCATACACTACCCTCTTGAAATGTTTAAACACTGACCATTTCTTTTTAACACAGTGACTCTGCATATTTCTTCTATCTTCTTTTTCTTTTCCATCTTCTTTTCATGCTTTCTGCATCATTCAATATTTTGTCCATAGAAATTTTGGGCAAAATAGCAATATTGTCAGTCGAGGCCTGAATTTTTTCTACAGTTCCCTCAGCTTGAGAAATGCTCAGCATCTTCCCTTTTGCTTTTCTAACTCCAGGTCTTTGTACATTTTGTTATAATATTTGACTGTCTCCTTGGGCTACTTTTTCAATTTTTCTATTCAGCTCTTTTACCTCCTCATTTCTTCCATTTGCTTTAGCATCTCTATGCTGTAGAGCAAGTTTCAGAGTCTGACATCCATTTTGGTTTGTCCTTCTTTCTTGTCTTCTAATGACCTTTTGCTTTTTTTCTTACATGCTGTTCTTGGTTATCACCCCATAACTCTTCTGGATCTTGGTCTTTAAGGTCTAATGCATCGAATCTATTCTTCAGATGATCTCTAACTTCAGGTAGGATATGTTCACAGTCATATTTTGGCTCTCATGGACCTGTTTTAATTTTCTTTAGCTCCAGCTTGCACTTGCAATTAAGAAACTGATGGTCTGTTCCACAGCCTGCCTCTGTCCTTGTTTTGGCTGATGATATGGAGCTTTTCCATCACCTCTTTCCACAGATGTAGTCAATTTGATTTCTGTGCATTCCATCTGGTGAGTTTGTTTGCTGTTTTAAAAAGGTATCTGCAATGAAGAAATCATTGGCCTTGCAAAATTCTATCATGCAATCTCCAGCATCATTTCTATCACCAAGGCTATATTTTCTAACTACTGATTCATTCTTTTTTTCAACCTTTGTATTCCAATCACAAATGATCAATAAATAATGATTGCATGTTTCATCAATTTCATACAGAAGAAGTTGACAGAATTCTTCAATTTCAAAATCATTGGCTTTATAGTGGTTGGTGCATAAATTTGAATTATAGTCGTATTAACTGGTCTTCCTTGTAGACCTATGGATATTATCCTATCACAGGCAGCATTGAAGATAATCCCACACACAGATGAGTGTGGGCGTCCGACATGAAGACAGGGAGGCAGGGACAACCCAGGATACGACAACTACATGGACACCAAATTGAAAGAGGCCACAGAGAAAATCAAGTCACTGGATAGAGAACTTTGATAGAGAAGAACTAAGCCAACTGAGGGACTTCTTACAGGACAGGGAGCAAAAGGCAGTTCAAAACTCATGATCCACCTCTTGGAAACCCTACACAGGGTCACTATGAGTTATAAATGACTCAACTTCACTTAACAACAAGGAGCAACTGGTGGGGCTGAACCACTAACCTTGTGGTTAGCAGTCTAGTGTTGACCCTACTGTGCCACACCAAGACTCTTATAACAGGTTAGCTGAATTCCAATTAGTGGTCATAAGTAAAACTAATATTAAAAAAATTTTTTACATTATTTTGGCAATAGTTGAACTTCTAAAAATTATGTAGAGATAAATTTAGCAGTTAATATAAATAAGAAACCTGCATTCTCCAAACCTGGCTATTACAGAGTAAAATGCCAAAACCAAGTTGCAGATTTAAAACGTGGTAATGTGAGGCTATCATATTTTTTAAGTGTTTAAGTAAGATAGAAGAATATTTGGAAGTAAGGTTAAATACAGGGCAGAAAAACAAAATCATTTAACTCAAAGCATGGTCTCAAAGAACTAAGTACCAAGCTGCAACTGTAAGTTAACAAGCTGGAATTTTTAATCTGCACATTGACACCCTCGATGCTTAATAATATGGACCATCTCAGGGAGAGCTGCCACGTGTCCACTGCTCCTGACTGAGCAGCCAGCCTAGAACTGAGGCAGACCCTGTCAGGAGCTTTTAAGTAAAATTACTATTGGAAACTAAGAAAAAGAAAAGTTCTATAGTACTCACGTGCCAGGCATCATGATAAAATTTATAAACTCATCTCATTCACTCCTCACAACCCTGTACCCACACAAGAGAAAGAAGTGTGGAGTTACCTCTAAGCCTGAAAAGACAAATGTGCTCCAACAGGGTTTCTCAATAGGGAAAGAGCGATTTGTTGTAGAAGCCTCACCTTCCATGTGGAAGGTCCTGGGTGCAATTCCCAGCTACTGTAGCTCATAAGCAGCTGTGTTGCTATGATACTGAACAGGTTTTTCAGTGGAACTTCCAGACTTACGATGAACTAGGAAGAAAGACCTGGGGATCAACCTCTAAACTTCAGCTGATGAAAACTATGGATCACAAGGGTCTGATGCACAACCAATCACAGGCCCAGGCAGTGTTTCTTTCTGTTGTGCACACTGATTTGATGCAACTAATAGAGGGAGTCCTGGTGTGGCACTGTGGATTAATGGGTCACACTACAAAGCCGTTTGAACCCAAGGTCAGCAGTTCAAGCTCACCAGCTGCTCCTTGGAAACCCTATATATGGTTGCAACTGACTGGAGGGCACTTGACAACAACAATAGAGAGGGTTTCTCAGCAGTCCTTCAGGAGTTAGTATTCTACCTTCAGGACTGTAGCAGGAGCAGGCAGCATTGCCTTCTTGTCACTGTGAGTCAGAACCAACCCCAGACCCCACAGCACCTAATAACAACAAAGAGTGGCACAGAGCGGCTGGGGGTTCTAAACCCAGAGAGGGAAAGGGGCTTATACCCTGTGGTTGGTTGATGATGAATGGAGGAGCTTGTAACCATGGCAATGAAACAATGTATGATACAATGAATGTAGAATGTAAAGCTAATGTGCTCCCATGTAAATTATCACATAATTCACAATAAAACATTAAGAAAAAAAAAGTGGCATAAAGAATATAACTTACAAAATTGGCAGCATCCATGATTCCATCTTCTACAGGATGGGTACAGTCAAGGGTGAACTTCAAAACCTGCTTCTTTTTTTTGCCCCCCTTTGCCACAAGCTTTTTCTAAGATGAAGAAAACACACAAACCAAAACTGAAGATGAGAAACATTAAGCAAAACAAAAGTAGCAGAGGAAAGAACAAAAAAGAAAACAGCCAGAGGTATTAAAAGCCCACACAAATGCAAAATCCCATGGAGTTGTAGCCCTGCTTATGTCACCAAGAGTGGTGGAGAGATGACACCAAAGAGGCTCTTCTAGAAGACTTAAGGGTCGGTCTGGGGTTGCTCTTTTGATGGGGAAAATCACTCCAGCACTAGAACCATTTACATTTTCTAGCCCCTGCCCCTCTCTGGATACAAATCTGATTATCTTATGAATAAGGAAAAAATTGAAAAAGTCATTTCCCCTAAAATTTCCAAAAACATATCTAAGGAATGCTCATTTTATCCCAGGATCAGTGCACAGGAATATACACATCTTCCACACCCACCAAAAACCAATTTTAATCTCAACTCAATAATTATTCCAACTCTGCCAACTCTAGTCCTGATGCATTTCAGCTGTTCTCTTTTGAGCATGACTTAATTCACCGTTTTGGGAGCAAGAGAACAGCAGCAGTGTTTGAGATGCCTTGTCTAACCCTAGTCAGAAACTGACAACAATCCAAGGCCTTCTATATGATTTAGCCTATGAATTATTAAATTTAAAACACGGGATTTAACACATTTTCACTCTTACCAAGAAGCTTGTAATAATTTCCCTCTACAAATAAGGAGCTCTGGTGCGTAGTGGTTATGAATCAGGAGGCTAACCTCAAGTTAGGCAGTTTGAAACTACCAGCTGTTCCACAGGAGAAAGATGAGGATATCTGCTCCTGTAAAGATTTTCAGTCTACACAGGGTCGACTATGAGTCCGAACCGACTCCACCGCACATAACCATCAACCACACATGCCATATAGCGTAGTGGTTACAAATCGGGCTGCAAACCGCAAGGTCGGCAGTTCGAAACTACCAGCTGTTCCGCGGGAGAAACATGAGGCTTTCTGCTCCCATAAAGATGTATAGACTTGGAAACCCTGTACAGGATCACTATGAGTCAGAACCGACTCCTCGGCACTAACAACATTGCATTTATACTTTGCTAAATGTACACACTAAATGACTCTTTACATGTACACATCTTACCTTATCTTTCTTATATTTAAAGAACTTCATGTAAAACTTTTAATTGGGCCTTTTCAAACATTTGTTATTGTTAAGATATTGTCCAATTGGTTTTCAACTCATTGCGACTCTAAAACAGAGAACTGCCCTGTAATGTTTTGTTCACTAAATCCTTATGGAACCGAGCCCTGGTGTGGGTCTGTAGGATCAGCACTGGGCTGCTAACCATGAATGGTAGTTGAAACCTACCAGCCGCTCCTTGGAAACCCCATATAGGGTCAGAATTAACTAGAGGGCACCTAACAACAATCCTTAGGGCATCAGGTTGCTAGGTCTCTCAGTTGAGTGGACGCGCCTTTTGGTTAAAAATGGGCCAGCAAGGCTCCTTTTCAAACACTGAGCTACTACAAAATTCACCGATTTTGTTTTTACGACTGTCCCCAATAACAATCAAGAAGGGCTGCTTTAAGAGCTGAACCTGGGACTCTAAAATCAGCAAGTCAAAAGACATGCCTACAAAGACTCCATGTCTCCCATCTTCAATTTGAAGCCAAAGGCAAACAAATGCATAAAAACATTTAAATAAAGGACCACTTAGGAAGTAGTAGCTAAGCCAACTGCAAACGTTAACAAGTGAGTTCCAACACCCGGGAAAAGGCTAAGAACTTGGGCAAACACCACCAGGAAACAACTTTCTTCAAGCACCCGGGGACGACCGCAGGGCATCCCAGTTTCAGTCTGGCAAGGAGAGTGCACTGAGGGCTACATCCTACACCAAAAAGGGTCTACACAACCGCGCGGACACTAATATCCTCCGAAGATGCTAAGAGGCTCCTCAATCCGCGCCTTCTGTCTGAAAACAGGCCGACTAAGTCATCCTTTTGGGAGCCATTTCCACCTAAGCGCGCGGCCCCTTCTCATCCCTGCCCCTCGCTCAGGTAGCCAGGCCCGGGCTGCTTCACGCCGGACTCCGAGAGCCTGCGAGCAGGCCAGGCCGCAGCCTCCACGCTCCAGTGCCCCGGCGGCGCCAGGCAGGAGCGCGAGGCCGAGCCACGACCGCAGAGAGCTCCAGGATCGCCATCCGAGGCCTCAGGCCGCGGCCTCCTCCGCCCACAACGTGTTAGGCCCGGCAGCCGTCCTGGCCCTCGCTGGTCGTCCTGACGCCTCAGCCTCAGCCGGACGCTGCAGAGCAACGTTCCCTGGGAGGCCGGGCAGGAGGCGAGCCCTGCGATGCCCACGTGCCTCTCCCGAGCAGCGGCCGCACGAGGAGCCATACTAACCACAGGTGCCATGGCGGCCGCCGAGGCAGAAAGGGAGTTCGGCGAACTACGCAGACGCAAAGAGTCCGCAGCGCGCAGAGCACGCAAAGCCCAGGCAGCACGAATCGCTCGCCCACGCCTCTCGATCGCCGCCGCGTTGCTCAGTTCTATCCGATCGAAGAGCTATTAGTTTCCCTGAATGCAAAACCCGTCTGTCCCCAGCTGGGAGGGTTGTAAAGGGAGAAAGGAGTCGGGGTGGCAGATCCCGCTAAGAATGATTGGAGGGGGTAGAAAGGATATTGACTAAAAGAAATAAAGGGATTGGCTCTAATTTTTAAGATCTTGGGAAGAAAAATGATAAGGAAATTCACCAAACTAAAAGCTAGTAGGATACGAGTGGAACTCAATGTCTTGGTAAGGAGAGAGTCTCTGACCGTAGAGAAATCGAGGCGATCTGAAGTTGCTGTGGCCCAATCCACTACCACTTCTTCTTACCTAAAACTGCGCAGGTTGGACGCTCACACCTAGGGTTGTTTCCGCACTGCTTCTGCTTTTGGCTGCAGCTGAACTAGCAGCAGCATCGCTTGGAACCTTTTGAGAAACGCGAATCTCTCTGGTGTGACCCCTCCAAACCCACTGCCTTCGAATTGATTCCAGCTCATAGTGAAAATTTCAACTAATACTGAAAATGCCATGGACTGCCAAAAGAACCAATAGATCTGTTTTGGAAGAAGTACAGCCAGAGTGCTCCTTGGAGGCCAAGATGGCTAAGTTTCGTCTCTCATACTTTGGACATATTGTTGTGAGGGAACAGTCACTGGAGAAGGATGTCATGCTGGGTAAGGTGGAGGGTCAGAGAAAAAGAGGAAGACCCCCAACGAGATGAATCAGCCAGGTGGCATCATTGATTGCGTCAAGTGTGGCAGCGGTAGTGAGGTTGGCCCAGGATCGGACATTGTTTCGTTCTGCTGTGCATGGGGTCGCTATGAGTCGGTTCCGACTCGATGGCACCTGACAACAACAACAACGACATAGTGATTTTATAAGTCAAAGTAGACCTGTCCCGTAGGGTTTCCAAGGTTTTTTTTCATCATTAGGAAGCAGAGTGTCACATCTTTTTCCTGTGACTGGTAAATTCGAACTGCCAGCATTTCATTTAACAAACTTTTTATCACTGTGCCACCAAGACTATTAATGACTTCCGCCTGCCAATACACACACACACACAATCTCAAATTCAAGCAGCCCACCCTCCCTGATCACCACTTTCTAGTACTCCAGGAGCTCTGGTAGTGTAGTGGTTATGAATTGGGCTGTAAACCGCAAGGTCGGCAGTTCGAAACTACCAGCTGTTCTGCGGGAGAAAGATGAGGCATTCTGCTCCCGTAAAGATTTACAGCCTCGGCAACCCTGTACAGGGTCACTATGAGTCGGAACCCACTCCACGGCACTTAACAACAACAATAAGCTCTCTTTGGGTTTACCAAAACCTAGGCCAATAGTTGGAGTCCAGGTGCTGTGGGCTAATATCTAGACTGCAAGGTCGGCGATTCAAACTCACCACCTGCTTTTTGGAAACCCTATAAGGAGCTCTGGAAGTGTGGTTATGAGTCGGGCTGCTAACCTCAAGGTCAGCAGTTCAAAACTACCAGCTGTTTCACAGAAGAAAGATGAGGCTTTCTGCTCCTGTAAAGATTTATAGCCTTGGAAACCCTGTACAGGGTCGCTATGAGTCAGAACCTACTTGACAGCACTTAACAATAACTTAACAGGCCAGTACTTCTCAAACTTGCAAGTTAATAGCACTGATCTTGTCATCTGGTTCAAATGCAGATTCCAACTCAAAACAAACACTCCCAAGTCCTGCACCATCCTCACAAGTGTTGCCATGTTTGAACCCATTGTTGCATCCACTGTGTCTATCTATCTCCTTGAGGGTCTTTTGTTCTGAGACTCTAACAAACATGATGTCCTTTTCCAGGGACTGGGCCCTCCTAACAATGTCCAAAGTACATAAGAAGTCTCACCAACTTCCCTTCCAGCTATTCTTCCTCCAAGACAATATTCTTCATCAACATCATAATTTAAATGCATCAATTCTTCGAAGGTCTTCCTTATTTATTGTCCAGCTTTCAAATGTATATGAAGCCATGACTTGAGTCAAGCACACCTTAGTCCTCGTCTTAGTTTTGCTGCAATCACAGAAATAGCAATAAGTGAATGGCTTTAACAAACAGAAATCATCCTGTCAAATTTAGGAGGCTAGGAGTCCAAATTCCGAGCACAAGCTCTGGAGAAAAGTCCTTGCCTTCTTCAGCGTCTGTAGGCCCAGCATTCCTTGGAGGTCATCAGATGTCTTGGCATCAATCATTCCCTGGATCTAAGAGCTTCACAGTGCAGAGACTTCAGGTCCAAAGGACGAAATCCAGTTCTGGCTCTTCTTTCTTGATGGTAGTGGGTCCGCTTTGAGCTCTGCTTGCCTGATTAATGTGGCACTGTAGGATTACACTGGATTGCAAGGTCAGTTTGAACTGCAAGGTCGGTGGTTCAAACTCACTAGCCGCTCCTTGGAAACCCTATATAGGGTTACAATGAGTTGGAACCTCCTCGACTTCACTTAACAACAAAAAATCTCTTAAAAGAAAGATACAACCTAATTCTGTAGAACGCATCTGGCCTCGTTAACATCATTGGTGTTGTTAATTGCCTTCAAGTGGGTTCCAACTCATAGTGACCCTGTACAAGGTTTCCGAGGAGTGGCTGATGGGTTTGAACTGCTGACCTTGTGGTTAGCAGTCCAGTGCTTAGCCTACAGCACTACACAATTAACATGATAGAAGTGAGGGTTGGCAATCCATAGGATAATCACATCAGCTCATGGCTGATCATACCATGGAGTGATTACATTGTATCTGATCTCATCATGATAATAACTAAGTAGTTATTAAACCACTGAGAATCCAGGCTCAATCAACTTAACACAAAACCTTAACAACTATAGTATTCATTTGTCTTTAACACTTTAAAGAGATTTTTTTTTTTTTTGTAGCCTTCTTCCACTCCTTATGCTGCATTCTTCACATAGTCGAGTTTCTAGGATTATTTGTTCAACACACAGAATGCAGAAATACAATGAAAGGGTATAAGTCTGACTGAGGGCTGCTATGAGTCAGAACTGAATTGAAAGAATCTAACTATAGATGGGAATCCTATTGGGAATGGATTTTCTTTGTCCTATTAATAAGGCAGTATTAGCAGCTGCTCCTTGCAAATCCTATACAGGGTTGCTATGGCTCAGGTCGGATTAATTAGACAGGACTTCACAACAACAGTTAGTGTTGGAGGCTACCACTCATCTGTCAGTTTGTTGAACTCTGGTGGCTTGCATGCATTGAAGACATTGGCAAAGAACAAGGCACCAGGAATTGATGGACTACAAACTGTAATCGTTCAACAAACTGATGCAGCACTGGAGGCACTCACTCATCTATGCCAAGACATTTGGAAGATGGCTACCTGCCCAAGTGACTGAAAGAGATCTGTATACAGAATGCAGAACACATCAGACAATATCATTAATATCTCATACAAGTAAAATTTTGCTAAGGATCATTCAAAAATGGCTGCAAATGTACTTTGACAGAGAACTGCTAGATTCAGAAGAGAACATGGAATGATGTCGGATGGATCTTGGCTTAAAGAAGAGAATACCAGAAAGATATTTACCTGTGCTTTGTTGACTACGCAAAGGCTTTCGATTGTGTGGATCATGACAATTTATGGACAACACTGAGGAGAATGAGTAGTCCAGAACACTTAATTGTAATCATTAGGAATCTGTTCCTCGAAGAGCTGTTCAGAGACCAAGAGGCAGTTGTTTGAACAGAAAAAGGGAACACTGAATGGTTTAAAATTAGCAAAGGTGTGCACCAGGGATGCATTCTTTCACCATACTTACTGAATCCGTGTGCTGAGCACATAATATGAAACAAAGGATTGGAGGAAGACTCATTAACAACCTGCGATATGCAGATGATACAACCTTGCTTGCTGAAAGCCAAGAGGACTTAAAAGACTTACTGATGAAGATCAAAGACCACAGCCTTTGGTATGGGTTGTACTTCAATGTAAAGAAAACAAAAATCCTCGCCACTGGATCAATAAACAACATTCTTATCAATGGAGAAAAGATTGAAGTTGGCAAGGACTTCATTCTTCTTGGATCAACTATCAGCACTCACAGAAGCAGCAGTCAGACGACGTATTGCATTAGGCAAATGTGCTGCACAAGAGCTTTTTAAAGTGTTGAAGAGCAAAGGTGTCAGCTTGAGGACTAAGGTGTGCTGACCCAAGTCATGGTATTTTCAATAACCTCAAATGCATGTGAGAGATTAACTATCTGTTGTTGTTAAGTGCTGTGGAGTCGGTTCCGACCCATAGCAACCCTGAACAGGGTTTCTGAGGCTGTAAATCTTTACAGGAGCAGAAAGCCTCATCTTTCTCCCACGGAGCAGCTGGTGGTTTCAAACTGCTGACCTTATGGTTCACAGCCGGATTCGTAACCACTAAGCTAACTATTTAGTGCTTGTTAAAAGAGTCTCTACTCTTTTTTTTTTTTTGCATTGGGCAAATCTGCTGCACAGGAACTTTTTAAAGTGTTGAAGAGCAGAGATGTCAGCTTGAGGACTAGGGTGCGCCTGACCCAGGCCATTGTGTTTTCAATAGCCTCATATGGATGCGAAAGCTGGACAGTGAATAAGGAGGATCGTAGAAGAATTGATGCCTTTGAGTTGTGGTGTTGGAGGAGAATACTGAAAGTGCCATGGACTGCCAAAAGAACCAATAAATCTGTTTTGGGAGAAGTGCAGCCAGAGTGCTCCTTGGAGGCCAGGATGGCTAAGCTTCGTCTCTCCTACTTTGGACATATTGTCCGGAGGAAACAATCGCTGGAGAAGGATGTCATGCTGGGTAGAGTGGAGGGTCAGAGAAAAAGAGGAAGACCCCCAACGAGATGGATCAGCCAGGTGGCATCATTGATGGACTCAAG